TTGACCCCATGTACCAGCAAAGGGCTTAAAGGGCCTAAAGGGCCTAAGCTGCTTCCAAGTTGCAAGCTTCTGGTCAAGCTGAAGCACTTGCTCACTCAACATCTATCACACATCTCAACATCTATTGACCAATCTGAGGTACAGTTTGGAGTTCTTCGTTCTTTTAGTCCAGGGTCGTTTGAGAGACTCAGAGCAGTCCGAGGACCTGAACGAAGTAAACGACAGACCTGCCGGTTCCTACTAGCGATGGCCTCCAACCTCCTAGCGTCCTTACTACTAGTAGTAATGCCCTTTGTTACTAGTAACGTTCTTGCTCCTAGTAGCGATGCCCTTTGTTACTAGTAGCTTCTTGTTTATAATAGCTTCTTGTTACTAGTAGTAATGCCCTTTGTTACTAGTAACGTTCTTGCTCCTAGTAGCGATGCCCTTTGTTACTAGTAGTCTTCTTGTAATAGCTTCTTGTTACTAGTAGTAATGCCCTTTGTTACTAGTAACGTTCTTGCTCCTAGTAGCGATGCCCTTTGTTACTAGTAGCTTCTTGTTTATAATAGCTTCTTGTTACTAGTAGTAATGCCCTTTGTTACTAGTAGCGTTCTTGCTCCTAGTAGCGATGCCCTTTGTTACTAGTAGCTTCTTGTTTATAATAGCTTCTTGTTACTATTAGTAATGCCCTTTGTTACTAGTAGCGTTCTTGCTCCTAGTAGCGATGCCCTTTGTTACTAGTAGCTTCTTGTTTATAATAGCTTCTTGTTACTAGTAGTAAGGCACTTGTTACTAGAAGCGATGCACTTGTTACTAGTAGCTTCTTGTTACTAGAAGCGATGGCCTCCAATTACCATGAGTTATGAACGTTCGAGTTCTCATTGGATGGAAGCTTTGTTCTCTCAAAAGTGTTCTCGATGCATCAGAGGTTCTGCCGCTCAAACCTCTCGGATACTGAAAAGTCCCTTTTTGCTAGGAACGAGTGGACGCTACTAGGAGCAAAGGGCATCGCTACTAGCAGCAAGGACGCTACTAGGGGCTCCTGGCCTTACTACTAGGAACAAGAACGCTACAAGGTCCCTAAAGGTCCCTTTGTGCCATTTGTTCTTTTCTCCAACGGGCGCGCTGCAGGACGTTGACAGGCGTATCGATATTCTCATTGATGACCTCACCAGGCTCTTTGTTACTAGTAGCTTCTTGTTTATAATAGCTTCTTGTTACTAGTAGTAAGGCACTTGTTACTAGTAGCGTGGCACTTGTTACTAGTAGCTTTCTATTTGATACACAAAGTGTTGGAACACCTCTTTCTTTGTCACGACCTTGAAACCCGTTTTGGTTTTCGAGACCCACCAGTGTGAAGTAAGGGCGAACACGTTGCCAGTCTTGTTCTCTTGTCTTGCTTACAATTTCAACACTTATAAAGTCAAAAAAGAAAGAAGGAAGAGAGGAAAGAGTGAAAGAAGAACCGTTCTAAGGGTCTAAAAAGAATGACAGAAACAATCCCCAAGAAGAGTTAAGACAGATAGAGAGTTTTGTTAAGACTTGTACCTACTAGTGCGGCGCACAGCCTGGCTACGGCAGCCTGGCAATGTTGAATCTCGACATGTGCAAGATTTGCTGCGAAGAGAAAGCGATGGCCTCCAACCTAACAGCTTCTTGCTCCTAGTAGCGATGCGAGGAGTCCCTAGTAGCTTCTTGTTCCAAGTAGTAAGGCCAGGAGCTACTAGTAGCGTCCTGGCTACTAGTAGAAATGCCCTTATTACTAGTGGCGATGCCCTTTGCTCGGCCTCCAACCCAATAGATACTACACAGACTCTGTTCATCTCTTTTCTTCTATGTTCATTCTTGTTCCTTTTATGTTGCACTTGTTTCTAATAGCTTCTTGTTACTACTAGTAAGGCCCTTGCTCCTAATACCGATGCACTTGTTCCTAGTAGCTTATTGTGACCTGGATTATCTTTTTTCAGGTTCATTTTCTTGAACATCTGCCGGGGCCTCTTCGAGGAGTGGGGACAGATGGCGGGGACAGATGGCGACGTAGAGCGGATGGTTCGCTCCACTCTTTGGCTGGAGCGGCCAGGACCACAAGCTCATGTTCTCCTTCCTCATCACCTGCCAGATTTTGAGAAATGAGGCGAGAACGAAGCAGATAGACACAGACAGAGCCACTGAGGTTTTAATTTTAGCGGCCACGTACTGAGGTTCATTCGGAGTTCATGAAGAAGCGGCCGATCACGCTGGAGTCTCAGATGCGCCATCAACTTGTCACGATGTTCACGAGATGTAAAAAAAAACACAAAACAAGATGTGACCAAAGGAGCTACTAGTAACAAGAAGCTCCTAGGGGCTCCTGGCATCGCTACTAGGAGCAAGGACGCTACTAGGGGCAAGAAGATGTGACAAGAAAACACATTTTTCTTAGTTTCTAATAGCGATGGCCTCCAGCTTATAACCGATAGAGAAGATGTTGATGTAGCTTGTTTTTTCATTTCGTCTTTAAGACTGTCATTTTACATTCTCACAAAAGAAGCTACGGACGTAACAAAGGGCATCGCTACGAACGGAGCCATGTTCGCTACGAACGGGGCTCCTGGCCTTACTACGAACGGAACAAGAGGACGCTACGAACGTTTTTGATCTTCCTAATAGCTTATTGTTTATAATAGCTTCTTGCTACTACTAGTAAGGCACTTGTTACTAGAAGCGATGCACTTGTGCCTAGTAGCTTCTTGTTACTAGTAGTAAGGCAGTTGTTACTAGAAGCGATGCACTTGTTACTAGAAACCCGTTCGTTGCGTCGGAAGCCATGGCCTTTGAAGGGTCACGGAATGGCTGTTCTTCCTGCGCAGCACCGAAGCAGGCGCTTCTGAGCGACTGAGTGAGACAGAGTGAGAGCGATTTGGTGCTTCTGAAATGAGTCTCTAGTAGCGATGCCAGGAGCCCCTAGTAGCTTCCTTGCTCCTAGTAGTACGGCCAGGAGCCCCTAGTAGCGTTCTTGTTCCTAGTAGCGATGCCAGGAGGCAAGAGTTGCGAATTGAACAAAAAGAACTTTGACATAAATCGTGAGGCAAGGGTATCTTGACAGCTGAAGAGAATCCCATAGCCTGCCCTGCGTGGATTGAGAAAGCTGCCCAAGCCTCAGCAGCTTGTGGGTCGCATCACACAAACCTGATAGACACAAGTGAAACATGTCCGTCCATCTGCGTCCCCTTGGACCCTTGGACCTCAGCGAGTTACGGCTTTGCTAGTGTTGGAGGCCATCGCTTCTATGTTGGAGGCCATTGCTAGTAGGTTG